GATATTACGTATGTCATTTATAAATTTCTAAACTAAGGGTAAAATAGATTTCATAGAAAATGTAGATTGTAATTAGCACTGGACAAGCATTTTATCTTGTTTGTAACACTTCATTTGAATATACCTGCCTCTCAGTGGTAATGTCCACATTCAGACTCAATCTTAATAACATTCACTTTAAAAGTATATGATATCAATTAACGAACTAGTGGGTCTTGATAGCTACTAACGATTTCAATAAGCGTTGCGTTTATGATTATTATCAGTAGCAGTAAGTTTTAAAATAATACAGATGTTCAATGCTCCATTAAACTATAAAACGATTTTCTAGCTGATATCAATTTGTGACATATACAAAACATCAGATTTAACTACTCCCCATTAACTATAAAACTGAAGATATAATTCAGTAACATATAGCCTAAAGATCAATCTTAAATATATCTCAAGTTTAAATTCTTTTTAATACACTATGGAAACTTATTGATTGATCCACGTTTCGAACAATAGGCGCTATAAAAATGATTTGCTGAAATGTATCATAGAATATACATTTCAATATTGAAGATAGTATGTAACAAGGTTGTTTTTCTTTCATTGGATCTATTCTGGTATTTCCTATGGTAAAAGAAATCAGGTTAAATACTTTCTTCAAAGACTTTAAATTATACACTCCGTTATTACCAACAAAAGCGCATTACAACTTACTCATGAAGTATTGAGTAAACATGAATAGGAACGAATACACCAAACAAAATATACGTCAAAGTCACTACTACTTTTAAAGCTTTAGTTAACAGTTCACACTATACCAAGTATCAATGTTACTGTAAACTGAAGACTATTTTGACTAAATTAAAAAAAAAAACAATTTAGCAACTCATTTCAATTGTGACTCAATGAGGTTGGACGGAATGTTTCAGGGACATTTGTTGATAACATGAAAGATAGCGATTCTGATTAATATGATATTAAGCCATCTATTAACTGCATCTTTAACAAGTACTCTTGTTATTCTACCCAAACTTTCATTCTTCCTCTTGCTTCAAATTAATCAAGGGAACTATAAGGATGAGAGAACCATTGATTTCTGAATGTTTATTTATCAATTTCAAGTTTAAATACGAGCAAACTTCATTACTTTAATTGATTTGTATCTAAAAATGCCTTATATGCTTATTAATTCTCACCTTAAACCTATTCTGGTAATATTGGCTTATAATCTAGAGTGATTAGATTTCGAATTGTGTTCATATTACTCTTATTATTATCCATGTCTCCACTTATCTCGTTCCCAGTCTAATTGACCTTTTATTTTTTTGTATATAAATGTTTTTAACAAGTCAGATTGTTCGAAATATATTGCGCTAATATATCATCACATAGTTCTGATAATCTTTGTCTTCTTATTACATTATTGACATTTGATTTAATTTATTAGTGCTTTTACTGTGAATGGACTTAAATGACTTTTCGAATTTTCTATGAGAAAATGTAAATGTAAAATTGGTGTCCTTATAATCGGTGGAACTTTGTCAATAAATGTAAGTTATGTAATGAAACATATTAACATAATGCATAATATACTTCATTTCACTGGTTGAAATCATGAGTCAGTTAAGGCTAAATCATCATGGAAAACCTGGAAGCACTGAACCGCCGTTTCGTCCTAGCATGGGGCTCCTCAGCAGTGCGCATCCACGATCCTGCCTCCCCACGAGATTCGAACACAGGACCTACCAGTCTCGCGCGAGAGCGCTTAACCACAAGACCACTGAGCCGGCAGGTATCCAACGGTGTTAAAATAGAAGAGACCGATGGAGTGGAGAATTTTTTTTTCAATATATATATATATATATATATATATATATAAAGACGAAACGGCCGTCTGGTGCTTCCAGGTTTTCCATGGTGGTCTAGCTTCAATTGACCCATGATGACAATAATCAAAGTAATTAATCGAGAATCAAGCAGTTGCTACGTTGCATAATATTTAAAGAATTGAAGAAAATAACAGAATATTTTGATGAGTTGTCAATAGTATAGTAGTTATGTAAGAATCAAGAGACAAATGTTGAGAATAAGTAAAATACAAAAAAAACACATAAAAGTGGAAGAAATATGAAAACAGTTTATCAAATTTCTGCTACAAACTTCTCTATACCGATGGCCAAGGTAGCAAGAGTGGTTGTACAAATTTCTTTTTTATGTAAAGGTTAGGCTTGTGAACATAGACTGCAATGGCTTCAGTAATGTGCAAAAGATGAACTCGTAAACTATGTGGCAAATTTAATGGAATATGGTGGATGACCTTAAAATCTTTATTCAGTTTAGTGAATAATATCAATAAAAAAGACATTTATTATTGATTTGAACAGGAATTAGTTATCCTTTATTATTATTATTATTATTATTATTATTATTATTATTATTATTCGAATATTTGTCAAGATTAGAACGAATAGTTTGACAGTAATTGAGCGCCGAGTACAGAGAAGTCATTATATGTGAAAATTATATTTGAAATATTCTCAGCGATTGAAATTTAACTAATTCCAACGTTTCGTCCAGCTAACTTGTCTGGACTTCTTCAGGGTAATAATCAAAATCAAAAAACAACATATATTTCTTTGATGTTTTTTATTTTGATTATTACCCTGAAGAAGTCCAGACAAGTTAGCTGGACGAAACGTTGGAATTAGTTAAATTTCAATCGCTGAGAATATTTCAAATACAATTTTCACATATATTATTATTATTGATATTACTAGCTTTATTCAATATTATATTTTTGGTACAATATAGAAATCTCAGCGTCAAGTATTTCAACAAGTTTCCGTTTCTTTCTTCTTGATCGATCCTGACGATAAATATTGAGTGATCGCCAGTTAGATGTTAGCAGTCCAGTAAATGAATATCTGAATAATGTGCATTCTTTTCGTTGTATATTGCCAGCAACCACATTGTCTTTTATTGAGTTCTTTGTAACTTTGACAACGAAAGCTTGTACACTTTTCACAAATGCACCAGGATAGGTTATGCGATTAATAAACATAATGATATATTAAAACAAACAAAAGTAGATAACTTGTTGAAATATCTTGATGGCAGGAACAGGTAGCCCAGATGCTTAAGCAGGCCGCCTATAATCAAATGACAATGTATAACATGATAAAACCGGTGGCCAGATATAATGATGACCTAATTTCAGCAGAGTTAGCTGAAGGTTCTAACTTTTAAATCCATTCATCCAGGCAATCCTAAGCAACATAGAAATTAACACAAGTAAGTAATGGATAGATTGTAGCTCTTCACATTAATATATGGACAAGACATTTAGGAAAAAACCGGAGTTAAAAGAATCAAAATGATTACATATTTAATAGTATAAAGCACAACATAAAATATACGGTTGGAAAAATGACGACATTAATGTATAAGAAACATTATATAATAAAAGTGTTGTGGATGCGGAGGAATAGACCAATAATTATCATGTTAAGTCCAATGGTGTCCTTGGACTTTAAATGGACATTTCCTATTGGTCGATACCTGCTCACTTGTTGAATATTGTACAAAATGTTGTTTTCTATTTTATGGTACGATGTGGTATGCTTGGTTAGTATATAAATAGAGTATGTTTGAAATATAATGATTCATATCTCAGAGGCTGTGGCTTGTCTTCTGGACCCGACTAACTGGGCTAGACAGGGAAGCAGGACCAATCAGAAATGTAGACCGTTCGTTCGTGTTTACGTGTCACTGCAGTCGATCGATAAGTACGCTGCTCTCTAATTTTCCAGTCAAGGACACAACAATTAGCACAGGGTAAAAATCGACCGCAAATTAAAGCCATAACAAAAAGATATAAAAATGAACTTAATTTCACTACAGTAATCGATTTCAAGCTATTTCAACTTAGATTTTCATTCATAGATAACGATTATTTCACAGACCTTAAGAAGAAAGTTTAGGTCATTTTATATAACTGAAAGGGAAAGTCAGTAATTGTATATCTTGAAATCACTAGTTATTATACTAGCCGCCGTTTTTCCTCGAGGTGGAGAATGTCGGTAACATGTATTACCTATTGAGAGCCATTAAAGTTTATGTTTGTTCATAAACTCACAAGGTGGTTTTCTGTTTTTGTTTCACATCTTAAACATAACATCGAATTTACTTGACTATTTTTGATCTAATGTTAACTATCTAAGGATATTTTCTATAAAACCTACTGCAGGAAATAACGATTTCGTCGACTGAATTTTCGGGAATCGATCTCTTTCCAGGTGATCGACTTATCGACATAGAATATTCAGATGACATAGTTTTGTTTGGTGAAAATGCCAATAAAATGTAGAGTCTTTTGGTAGCACTGAGCAGCAATGTCAGGATGTTTGGAATACGTTTTTCTTTCTGTAAATGCAAATTGTTACATCAGGATTGACCTGCTTCAATATCTGTATTAAGGAAAGAGAGTGAAGTAGTCGAACATGTCGACAACTTCACTTATGTTGGAAGTCTGATCAACCCAACCGATACGTGGCATCAGTGCTTGAAGTCACTAACCTCTAGTCTTAGCCATGTTGGTAGATACAGATTACTTGGTTGGGGTTCCGCGAGACTATCGTAACAAATGGTTCGAGACTGATTGATATGTTTCAGAATCGATCTCATTGGAGTAGGTGCATACACTCTTTGTCTTTCCTTAAACTGTGAGATTAGAATTACTATATACCTTTCTTTCTACCAACTAATTCCTTCTTCATGTACTATATCCTTATATGTAATCTTTCTTTTATATATTACTACCATTGAAGTAACTACTTCTATGACTTCGGTGGTCATCTTGTTGTGTTAATGAAGTATGGCAACTTGGATCAATGCATATATTTGCCTGGTCCTACGTTGTAGCTGACTGCCTGACTGACTGATTATTAATTTTTCTTAGAGCTCACTAATATTAATTACATTTTTTTGTATTTAATTAAATTTTAGAAATGCATTCTACAGTACGCAGTGTATTTCATATTTTAAACCTAATCTGTTTAGTAAGTGAATAATCATTTTTGATATAAACTATTTGTTCACACACTAATTATGTTAGTTTAAAAACAATTGAACTGTCATCCAGATCAAGTTTTACATGAACTCTCATAGTTAGGCTATATTGTATAGAAAGATTTTTCAAGTGAGATTTTTATAATAATTCAGTATAACTATGTATCTTATTGTTATGCTTTCATTAGTTATAGGTAAAGTGACTACTATCTGTAGTGTAATTTTTCCTGCTAACTGTAAAGGTAAAGGTTAATATAGATTATTCGGTTTGCATAAAGTTTACGGTATCGACTGATAATTATATGCAACTGAATAATTATCCAAGAGAGTGGTGAACTGACTTAATTCCAACAATTGAGCCACGGTATGATAATATATTAGTCATGAAGTAGTACTCAACAATTGAAGATGGACGTATCTTGTACCTACTTAGTGAGCTCAGAAAAGACTTCTTACTTTTTCTTCTCATGCTTATGTTTAACCACATTCTAAACTTGATAATCATAATTGGTTGACTAACGAATTCCCTTCTCAGTGTATTTCGTAGACGAAGCAAAGATTTTTCGCTGACAATGTTAGTTTTACGCAGTAGTTTTAGACACAACAATTTTTAATCCTGGTAGTGACTTTATTTTCGTTATTAAGTTTTGAAGTATGTTTACTCAACAGTTCTTGAGTATATTGCTGTGCGCTTTTGATGGCGTTAACGGAGTGCATAATTTAAAGTCTTTGAAGGTATTTAACCAGATTTATTTTACTATTATGATGATATCAGGCACATGAATTAGAACTTATCATCAACAAAACATATAAAAAGTTATCATTGCGTTTCTCATTCATTATGATATTAACTGGTTATGAAGGTCCTTTAGGACTTTGAGCATGTCATATTCGTTTCACTCACGTAGATGGACGAAGAGATAATCTATTTTTATGCATTATTGATATGCTATAAAGTCTATTACTTAATCTGTAAGTCGGAAAGTTTTGCATTCAACTGTGAAATAACTGTAAGTCGATAACTCTTGAAATTTCCTATTATAACTTATCAATCGTTTTCATATGTTGTTCAAAGTGACCATAAAAGCTCTCAAAGTTTCACATATAAGCAATTCACATTGTTATGGAGACTACTCATACATGTTCATATTATTTTCAAAATGGTGCTCTGTAGAAATGAGCTTTTTATCTGTCAGAGTAAAGTCATAAAACTTTAACAAATATCAGTAAACAATCAAATCATTAACTTTTTGAATAATAGTTTGTCGTTAAAAAAAACGATAGGATGATGGCTTAAACATGAATGGGATTGTAAACAATGTGACATAAGTCAGTGAAATATACTAACAACTGAATAAATTAAATCTAATCAAATGTAAAGAACGAATGAAAGGTTGTGCAAGATCATGGGACGATTAAAGGTGGATACCAGGTAAGTGCGCCCACGCACGAAACTGAAAGTCCCTGGTTCGAGTCTTGTATACGGGGTCGTGGATGCGCACTGTTGAGGAGTCCCATACTAGAACAAAACGGCCGTCGGATGCTTTCAGGTTTTCAATGGTAATCCATCTTACATCGAATCATGAATTCAACCATTAAAATGGAAAGAAATCTACTTTCAAAATATTAAATGTAATCATGCGTGTTGATCAATAAGTCACATGATAATCAAAGAAATAAAATGATTAGGGTAATTTATGTTTTCAATGTAACTTCATTGTTGTGCTCTACAAAAAAAGATATAGATAGTTCAGTGATTTAATTCAGTTCATTTTATCGGATTGACTTTATCGCAAGTCTATGAGATATGGACGAAATGTTCCGATTTAAGATAACGAGTCTTGGATTTTGGCGCGAAATTCATTCATCCATATGGCTAAACAGCATTTTGATGTTATAGATGATGTCAGTTCGTGATGAAAATTCTAACACTAATTTATAACTTTAAGGTCCAACTGTAAATCCGAATTCTAACTCATTACACTAATTTATAACCCTATTTTAACCTGTAATAATTTCGCAAACATTCTCAAGGTCACTTTACTTTGCTCAAAGGTCGTTCATAAATTATTGTATCACCAATCTTGTTTGTTAAATAACACGGTAACCACGATCAAAAGTGCTAAGAATACAATTAGTTTAGATTGACATCATTGGTGGATCAACGTTAATTCAGAATTTGTATTGTATGTATGAAGAAATATTATGAGTTATTTTCAAACACTCATAATTTATAAACACATTTAGCTATCAGTATGGGATTGTGGAGATTGTTGAGTTTTGATTGAAATCATGAATGGATTCACGTTAGACCACCATTGCGAACCTGAAAGTACTGGACGGCCGTTTCGTACTAGTATGGGACTCCTCAATAGTGCATATTCACAATCCCGCACTCAGGACTCGAATCCGTGATATCAATCCAAACTCAACAAACTCCATATACTGATAATAAAATTAATGATAAGATGATATTCACGATAAAATTTAGGACACATTCATAAATCGTTAAATAAACAGTTACTATATTTAATATTTTATTAAGACTGTTCATTTTAAAGATAGCTTACGCTAAGCAGCAGTTCACACATAAATGTTCTTGATATGGATCAAATCCAGGAAGTTCAGGTTTCCTAGCAAGCAAATAAAATTTAAATAGACAAGTTGGCTTCTGTTAGCGTAATACATTTTGACACTTAGAAATTTAACAGTATAGCAAAATTATCATCCGTCACCTTCCTTAATGACAGTATGGTGGAGAAGATTTGTAGCTCAGGTGGATGATTTTAATGGAGTTTTGTTCTCTGAGTTGGATAGTTTGGTCGGGGAGCTTTCATCGTTCTTCTAAACGACATCATCAGAAAAGCTGTGAACCACATGTGGAGAAATTCGAACACTTCACTTCTACCTGAAGTTTCTGCTGATGATGTCATTTAGAAGAATAACGAAAGCTCCACGAACAAACCATCCAGCTCAGAGAACAAAACTCCATCAAAATCAATGACAGTATATCGTTGGATATGCTTTTTATCATTCTATAAATTTAAACTAATTTTCGATTTTATTTTTCAGTCCATTTTATTATTAGCATTTGTCTTTTTTGTCATTACATTTTGGACGAAACTCTCTGTTAAAATTGTTGAGCCAACATTGAATAAATTACGAATAGATGGTGTAAATAATCGAACCGTAATCGATGGAGTGAATAGTGTTGTACGAACTTTTACACGTAAGTTTACAATAATTTCAATAGTTAAAATCATGAGTCAATTGAAGCTAGACCACCATGGAAAACCTGGAAGCACCGGATGACCGTCTCGTACTAGTATGGGAATCTTCAATAGTGCACATCCACAAAACCCCTTCTGATAATAATAACCTTAATTAATCTTATATGCTTGTATCTGTAGTGGCTAAGCTTCGTTTTTTTAGTCGACTGGCATTTAAGTTAGAGAGATATGTGCGTAGGCTGTCACATGTGATCGAGCGTATATGTTTATACAGGTATGAAAATGATCATAATAATACAAAGAAATAGACGGATTACTACTGTTCGAATGACATTGTTAAATAAGTTCATATAACAGCTTGACAAAATTAACCATAATCGAAATTAATCGTAGGAGTGTTACTATATATCAACCATTTTAATTGTATATCTGATGGTATTTTCCGTAACTTTGAAAAAACATGATGAACTCACCAACCATTATGATAGTTTCTTTTATCTTTTACATTATAGGGCTGTGTTGTAGGCTGTTTATCGCATATTTTTTTATCTAAATGCTTGTTTAATTAAAACCAATTTAACATGAACGACTTCACTGCAACCTCTTAGAAAAAAATAACAGTAGTTCTAAGCAATCTGGTAAGGTTAGTAACAGTTTAGTGTTTGATAAATAAGTTAAATGAGATTCAAGTAAATAGTGTGCATCAATTTGAGGTTATTTATTAACAGATAGGCTGAAGCACAGTAAGGGATTCAGTGCGCTAAATATATAAGTTTACAAATGACTAATTTATTTCTAATTGAAATCATGAACCGATCAATGTTAGACCATTATTGAAAACCTGGGAGTACTGGACGGCCGTCTCATCTTAGTCTAGGACTCCTCAATAGTGCAGACCAACGACACCTCTCACGGGACTCGGAATCAGGACCTTCAGTCTCGTGAACGAACGCTTCACTTCTAGACCACTGAGCTGGCATCCAACGGTGTTAATGTCTGAATTCAACCAATTCACGATATTGCAAGACGATCTTCTATTGTTTTAGGTGGGTAACTACCTTGCAACCGACTCACTTGAACTCCACTATTCATAGTTTTCACTAGGACTCTGAGAATTATAATCTTCACAACCCTATACTGATAATTTACTTTCATCGTAAAATGTATGCATGTAAACATTCATGAACCTAATAGAGAAGATATTCTTACATAATGCAGAAACAATGATTTTTGTCATATGATATGTGTTCTAAATAAGTTCTTGTGTATTTGTTCTTTTGGGCAGAAATAATAAAGTATTTATGGAATAGATGGGTTTGTGGTTAGCATAGTATTTATTTCTTGTTCTGTCTGATAACAGATAAGCTGAAAACGTCTAAGAGAGCATGTAGAGATGGTTTAGTTTTTAAAGAATGGATCACAAACTAATCTTAGTCAGAGAACTGTTGAATACTAGGAAGCAGTGGACAGCTGTTTTATACTAGAATGGGACTCTTCAACTGTAGGCCGTTGTTTCAACTTAGGAGATCGAACCAAGGGCTTTTAAGTCTCGCAACAAGCGCTAGATTCTCTCACCACTAACCCAGTAACAATAATCATATACAGGTACTAGTTTTAAAAGGTAACTCAGTGGGCTTTTGTGAGACCAGTTGAGTTCAACCGTGTTAAGTGAGAGACAGTTATCTAACAAATCTAATGGGGGATGTTCCCATACAATTGTGATCCCATTGAAGTTAGATAAGTTACATATTTTCTACCTATTGAGGGGTCCCATACTAGCACGAAATAACTGTCCATAGCTCCCTGGTTCTCAGTAATTGTCTGGCTAAAATCTTTCCATGATGTGAAATATGAAAATAGAAATTTATTAGTCAGATGGCTGATTGGTATATAGACAAATAACAGCTGCTGGTTATGAAAAATGTTTTAAGTAACCTTTCACAACTAGAATCATTATAGAATGAGAACTAACTTTACTTGCAGCTTCAAGAATTCTGAGCAATATAGTGCAATTGAAGTCATCTTCTATGTTTAGCAATAAATCATGATGCAGTTAAGAAAAAGGGACAATCATCAGGAATAATGAATCGTAGAAATTAGCTAACTGTTAACTCTGAATAAGCAGTTGAGTCTTTGAGATCTTAATACTCAACATATCAGAGATTGAACTAAATATTAGCCAGTCCTATTTTAATATTGATGGATTAGTCATGAAGATCACAACACTACTCTCATTGTAGTGATTTAACCAAAATTTATACTCGGTCTTCTCCAACACAGTCGACCTTATCTGTGAAATAGATGTGCATATAAATTACTTTTACTAGGTTTTATTTCGAGAAATAACACAATGTAATATTTACCAATATACCACATGGTACGTCCTTGATTCGTCTACCCACTTATATGCAGAGGATACTTGTCTAATCTAGATTAAGACCTTGACGCGATAGGTTGTTTGGCTTAACCTTGAAGCTAGTATGCATGAGTTCGGAATGGGGTAGAGAGACAAAAACGATTGTATCACCTGACTGGCTGACAAGCATGCGAGTGAGATAAGTCAACCGGAACACTATTCGATCTATTCCCGATCCCGATCTGACTCCCGATTTCAGATAGGTGTAAAAAGATACATGAATAAATAGATGACTAAACTGACCACAACGTACAATAATCAGGAAAATACAATTATGTCCAAAACTGGAGATTAGAATAGGAGATAGAGTACAAAATAAAACGCTTAAATTACAATATCTTTAGGACAAAAAGGACTATGGTAATGAATCATACATCAAACCAAAGTACGTGATCTGTAGAATCGACTACGGCCGAAAATAAATGTTACTGTTTTACAAGCTGTGAATTCAATGAAAGAACGTCCCCAAAAATAGCTTCCGTAGTTTGTCAATTCTTCTTTTTCTCTGCTCACACCACTATACATTCATGGCTTTTTTTCTTGATTTATTTAAGGTCCGGTAATTTTACCATTGATGACAATATCACTTGTATTTGCTTGTATTTATTTCTTTGGAGCACTAATCGCTTTTAATCGAAGCAGTACATTTTTTCTTATGGTAGGTTCCCACAAACTTTAACATATATTGGGACCAAATATGGTTGTTTTTGAATATCATCTTTAAATCCATAGTAATAGATCAAAGGTTTTTACTGATACGTCTAACTATTGGATGACTCCTGATCAAGAGTATCCATTAAAATATGGAAATAATTAAGTGCAAAATATTTAAATATAATTACAATAATGATAAACGAATATGGTTGCACAAGCAATTGAGAGAACAAAACTCCACCAAAAACTATACATCATTGCTTACGAATATGATTATGCTATATTTAAGTGAGAATAAGATCTCAGTAACAAGATAATTATATCTGTACTGATTATTTGTTTTGAAATGCGTTCTTGTGGTACTAGTGTGAATCTTCGAATAATGGATATTTTAGATTTTAAGAGTGAGGCGATGGTCACAAACAACCATGTTATCAAAAACTGAGTGAAGTTGATGATGGCAACTGTTAAATGAGAGCTCAGTTGCTAAATGGTTAAACACTCATTGTGAACTCTTACTGACATAGGCAGTATCCTTAATAAACAAGAGAGTTCTGATGCAAACGTAATGATAGAGATTGGCAGAGCAAGGACAGCATTTCTGAAACTGAGGAACATATAGAGTTTAAAACAACTGTGAACTAACATCAAAGTCATAATCTTCGATACGAACGTCAAGACAGTTCTAGTATACGGAGCTGAAACTTGGAGAACTAAAACAGCCATCATCAAAATGTACAAGTATTTCTGAACAATTTTCTACACAAGATACTCAGTATCCTTTAAGCCGATACAGTCAGCAATAGGCTACTATGGAAGAGAACAAACCAGTCTCTATTTGATGAGGAAATTAAGAAAAGATGTTGGAGATGAATTCATCAAGGCAATGTGAAAAGAGGAATAAATGGAAGGAATGAATATGACCTGGCAACTACTAGAAAGTAGAGCTCAGGACGGAGTTCTTTGGAGTTTCTTAGAACTCGACCTCTGGTCAACGAATGGTAACAGGCCCTAATTAAGTGACGGAAACATAAAGATTCTGAGTTAAATCTCACTGAGTTGACAGTTGTGAGATATTCACGTAAGCTGATTTTCAATAAGACAATCAAAATTCATCGAGAAACCAACTCTTGTTTACAAAACGATACATGAATACTGTTTTATTAGGTACAACGGTTGTATCACAAGTAAATAGCATATGAGCACTGTAGAAATGTAATATATAAAATAATTCAATACTTAGGGTCGGTTAAATATATTAATGTTATTTTAAAACAACACCAAGTGAATTTAAACTTCATCCAATTGCACAGGTGAGTGGCTATCAGGATTCAGTAGCTAAGTGGATAACTACTCAAATGGCGTTTGAAGCGAACAGTATTTGGTTCGAGTCCTGGAGTGAACATCAACTCTGGGATGCACGTACATCCAGCTGACGAGTCCGAAGTACGAAGGAACGCGTGCCATGTATTCCACTGCTAGCCACTATCCATCTTTGCCTAAAAAATATATGTTGAAAAGCCTCATCTATCATAAAGCTTATCATATTGTTAAAGATAAATTTTAATATAATTTACTGATATGTAGTGGCTTTTCTTGGTTAATCAATCACCCTTGTAACCGTTATCATATAAATTTCAATGGTGTTTGAAATCAGATGGCAATGAGAAACGGTAACTACAGTTCCATAGCCGATAGCGCAGATCACAAAGTACATCACGCGTATTTGATGCAGACAGACGAATATGTATATACGATCAAATACATAGGCAAATTTATAGTCACATTGTATAAGGCCACAGTAAGGCAAAGCAAAACTTATTAAGTGGATTTAAGTGCATACATACATGGGGAGGTGGATGAATGGTTGAGTGATATTTAAGCAATCAACACTTTTTAGCTAGAGTCTGTCATATGCTCCAATGATCATAATGGTACAAAGAAATATGCAAATGGTTACTATTCAAGTAACATCGTCTATTAAATAAGTTAATAAAAGGTATTAACCATCATTAACCATAACCGAAATTGGTTGTAGAATAGTTGCTATGGCTATAGTATCATGTTTTTATCCATTTATTTATTTATTAAAGTTGCATAATTTTTTTAGTATTTAAATAAAATACAAATTTCTTTTTCAGTATGAAGTTACTTTAACAGTTTGTATAATTGTGCATATAGTTATGATAACTATTGTGTTAAAAAATCCAGAAACAGTATGTTATTCATTTAGTCTTTTAATCTTTTAATGAAGTTTTATAATAAATTCAAGTATGATGATTAACAAAAGGGGTTTTTTGGAGATTTTAGTAATTTCAATAGTTGATATCATGAGTCAATTGAGGCTAGATCATCATGGAAAACCTTGAAGCACTGGATAGCTGTTTCGTCCTAGCATGGGACTCCTCAGCAATGTGCATTCACGATCACGCCCCCCACGAGGTTCGAACCTAGGACCTATCAGCGCTTAACTATTAGACTACTGAGCTGGCATCCAAGTGTGTTAATGTCTAACTTCAACCAATCCGCGAATCAAGTATGATTCTTTATAGACTGGTTTATTATTAAGTGAAATGAAATGATATTTTAAGTAATTATAATTGTAATATTGGGTTAAAACTATAATCAAAATAAGTATAAGACATAGTTTGTTTGTATTCAAAGTTAAGGTTTCAGTGCATGAATAGCAAGAGTATTTAGGGTGTGTGCTACTGATGTCGATAGATATATGAAGTATATATCATCGATCAAAAGTGAAGTGCTTAGTGTCACAAGGTTCAGAGGATCGAAGTAAAGAAAACGAGAACAGAAAATGATTGGTATAGAAACGAAAGACGATTGATTGATATTTTGCAAATTAAGTATTGTGTAATTTGTGTGTTCAAATATATTCGTCTATTCACCCTTGTGTTCTAGTTCACTACAAATATACTGTTGTTTTTAAGAGGTAGAACACGAAGAAAACGTGATAGATTTGTTAAGGATTATATAAACAAACGTGTAACTTTGTTGATTGATTAGAATCTAACTACTGACACCTTAACTATTTCCTAAATAAATCATTATTTTTATTCAGTCTCTAGACTGATGTTTCATTCTAGTATGGAACTTCTCAAAGATATACATTCATGACCTCACAAATACCTGGCCACAGAACCTTCAGTTTTACAGATGAACAGTTAGAATCTAGATCTATAAAATTCAGTCTATTGTTATTCATATCAAGCGTTCATCAATTCACGATATCGTACAATTAATATCCAAAACTCTCAAAATGATAATTGAGTACTTCAGTTTCAGTTTCAGTTTGGGAAGGACAGGAGGCTTGATGGCCAGTGTTAGTCCTGGCAATGGTAGTCTCCCAGTTGATCCAACTTTCTTTTGAAAGAGTCGACGGATGGAGCCTAAACCACGTGCTGAGGTAATGAATTCCACTCATTGATGATTCGATGGGAAAGTCGATAGTTAGCTGACAAGTAATTTGTTCTGGTCTTGTGAACTTTCTTGGAGTGTCCTCGTAAATTCTCTGTTTTGGAATACAATAAAATGATGGCATATCAGGTGCACATTTTTCACTAAGCAATTTGAAAACTGTAATCAAGTCGCCTCTAGTTCTACGATATGACAACGGGAAAAGGTTTAGCTTGCTCAGTCGAGCATCATACGGAAGCTTCGCTATTCCGGGAATCAGCTTAGTTGCTGTTCTCTGAACCTTTGCCAGAAGCTCACTGTCTTTTTTAAGCAGGGGCTAGCCGCTTGTATGCAGTACTCAAATGTAGGACGTACAAACACTGTATACAAAGTCAAAAACATTTTATCGTCGACATGACTAAAAGCCTTACGTATTGACCATAAGGTTCTAAAACCTTTGGCGGCTATTGCACGGCAGTGCGCAGTAGTCTTTAAGTCTTGGCTAACGATGACTCCTAACTCATTATGTGTCTGGACGATATAAACTTTTCATTTTAGTAATTATTGGCTACTATTTTCTTAAACAAACATACGAATAATATTTTCTCTTTTATCTGTTAGACAGAAAAAATGATGGAAAAACTTTTTGCAAAAAAATTTTATCTCTATCGATCAATGAAGAGTCATGATGGAGCAAGTTTATTTGCGGCTGTCGTAATGATAGAAGTAAGATGAAATTATAAATTGTATGCTATCATGATAGAAAAAACAGATGACAGTTTTTATAAAAATTATAGTCTTAATATGATACAGGATATTGGAACTAGATTAGCAGTTTCTGTTGAGACTGTAGTAAATTTGATTTCATTTATAAGTATTGTATTTCTATGTTATTATTAAGGACTGTAAATTGATTGTTCTCTTTCTTTTCTATATATGCTTACTTACTTGCTTACTTACGCCTGTTACTCCTAATGGAGCATAGACCGTCGACCAGCATTCTCCAACCCACTCTGTCCTGGGCCTTCTTTTCTAGTTCAATCCAATTCTTGTTCATTTTTCTCATGTCTATCTCCATTTCTCGGCGTAATGTGTTCTTTAGTCTTCCTCTTTTCCTTTGGCCTTGAGGATTCCATGTGAGGGCTTGTCTTGTGACGCAGTTCGGTGCTTTCCTCAATGTGTGTCCTATCCACTTCCAGCGCCTCTTCCTGGTTTCTTCCTCCGCTGGGATCTGCTTTGTTCTCTCCCACAGTAGGTTGTTGTTAATAGTGTCCGGCCAACGGATCCGAAGTATTTTGTGTAGAAAACTGTTAATAAACACCTGAATTTTTTGGATGATGGCTTTCGTAGTTCTCCAGGTTTCTGCCCCATACAGTAGAACTGTCTTGACACTTGTATTGAAAATCCTGACCTTTGTGTTGGTTGACAGTTGCTTTGAGTTCCAGATGTTATTCAGTTGTAAATATGATGCTCTTGCTTTACCGATCCGCGCCTTCACATTTGCATCAGATCCACCATGTTCATCAATGATGCTGCCCAGATATGTATAGGTTTTTACATCTTCCAAATCGTCTCCGTCAATTTTGATTGGATTGGTGCATGTTGTGTTGTATCGGAGAATCTTGCTTTTCCCTTTGTGTATATTGAGACCTACTGCTGCTGAGGCTGCTGCTACACTGGTCGTCTTCTCCTGCATTTGTTGTTGCGTTTGGGACAGAAGGGCCAGATCGTCTGCGAAGTCTAGATCGTCCAGTTGCATCATAGATGTCCACTGTATCCCGCGTGTCCCTTCAGATGTTGACGTCTTCATGATCCAGTCGATCATCAGGAGAAACAGAAAGCGTGAGAGTAAGCAACCTTTCCTGACACCGGTCTTTAATTCGAACGTGTCTGTCAACTGTTCTCCATGCACAGTTTTGCAGTTTAATCCATCATAAGAATTCTGTATGTTATTGACTATCTTCTGAGGCACGCCGTAGTATCAAAGAAGTTTCCATAGTGTTGTTCTGTCCACGCTATCAAATGCCTTTTCGTAGTCAATGAAGTTGATGTAGAGTGATGAATTCCATTCAACTGGTTGTTCCACAATGATCCGTAGAGTTGCGATTTGGTCTGTACACGATAGAAATATATACACTTGAGCAAGTTGTATTTGAAGCTTTATTCAGTCACAGGTGCTTATCAAAGTTGATTGATGGGTTGGAGTTAAGTCAAGGATGCCTGTTTAGTTTTATTGAACACTCATCAACTGGATGAACTTGTATTTGGGGAGTAGAAAAGTATTGGATTCCTCTTAGGATGCATCTGTTATAGAAGTGACAGTTCAGTTATAATTCTTAATATCAACAATGGGAAATTAAACATTTTATGAATAAGATTCATATTTATTACATAAGCTAGTGGGATCCAGGCTCAGTAGCACGGTTAAATTTACAAATGCAAGGTTTAGGTTTCAGTATACAAATCAATACAGGGACCCAAGTGCAATAGGATAACGTGTCCCCCCCCCAAAACAAAACCAAGTTTCTTTCAAATATATAATGATTTTTGAAAATCTAGTACTGTAAAAATATCAACTTATTCTATTTATGTAGTTGGTTAGCAAGTAGCATTTTCTTATACTATGGCAACTATTGAAATCCGTGTAGATTTAACAATCAGACTACTTTTTATTGAATTGCTTAGTAACAAATTTGAACTGAGCTTCAGTTATTTCATTTTAAGCAATTTAGTGGTGTTTATAAATCTTATACTAAGTATGTCTCAAGTCCAAGAGTACGATTTCTTACTAAGTGGAGTAAAACATCCGATGTGCGATTCAAAGTAATAATATAATAGGCTTTTAATTATCAAACACTCAAGGTTTTAAAATCGACTTCAGTTATCTAAAATTTACTTATATTGATGTTGTATAATGTGTGACATAAAGATTATTATATCAACTTATTCTTAGTAAATAAGTTGTACATATTTTACATAGTTTACGTTGTAATAAAAGTTTGAACTTAAGTGTTTTATGACAGAGAACAATTCAAACATTAAAAATACTGGTCAGGTTCAGTAATTTACATGATATAATGATCTAATTTTGTATATTAATAGACTCTCAGTATTCGTCATAGGAAATAGATGGAGTTCAATTTTCAACCAGGTCTGTTGTGAGGTAGTAACTTACTGAAGACAATAGTGGATGTGTCGCTCAATTTCGTAAATTATTTGAAGTTAGACACTAACATTGTTGGATGTCGGCTCAGTGGTCTAGTGGTTAAGAGTTCGTGCACGAGACCATTAGGTCCTAGGTTTGAATCTCGCAAGGCGGAATCAAGAATGAGCACTACTGAGGAGTCTCACAACAAGAGAAAACAGCCGTCTAGTGCTTCCAGGTGGTCTAGCTTCAGTTGACTCATGATCTAAACTATTGAAATTACTTTAATATCCACAAAAACCCCTTCTGATATTAATTGTTTACATACTGTCCACGATAAATTTTGGAACCAAATGAACATATTCACATCCCATCATTAAGTCATGTAATAATGACATAACATGTGTTAGCGTGTTATCAGTGAAATATGACGCTCCGAAATTCACATTACATTTAAATAGATATTCTGCATTTGATTTCCCACTAATATTTTAACTTCTGACGTAAATTTTAATACACGTTTTTTGCTTAGATTGGTAATGTTGTGACTTTACGACCGGCTAGTTATCACGTAATTTATTCGCTCATGGAAATACGACTATTCCACTCTTGTACTATGCTAAACCAATGACGTTCGACAAGAATGAACATACTAGCGTCCTCATTGATCTTTTGTTTGCCTAGCCCGTCCAGTTCAGTTCAGAACGACAACAACTTCCACTATGCGAATCGTTTATTTCAAACATACTGGGCTTATATAACAACCAAACAGATCGCATCACACCATAAAATAGGGAATAACATTTATTCATAATAAAGCCTAAATGTTTTACTGTCTCATTTTTTTTAATATCTAAACAGTTAAAATGCTGTGGTTACATGAATCCTTTTGATTTTGACGAGGACAGAGTAGAAATTACCGATGAATATGATGGTCATACTTATGATGGTAAGCAAAAATATTTGTTTTTCTACACAAATATCGTCTCCGTCAGCACCTGACTTAAAGATAAGGAATGAAGTGTTCATCTTGCTGTGCTAATGCGGTATGGCAACTTGGACCGATGCATATATGTGCCTGGTCCTATGTTGTAGCTGACTGACTGATCAACTACTTGTTTTCACTTTATAATAATGACTATGATTCATTATCTAAATCATTAGCTTTTTATCTTACAAGGTTTGAAAAAAGCAATAAATTCCAGCCCTAAAACATCTTGTATGATAAAACGTATTTGAATGTAGAAATCAAAGGCTTATGGACATGTACTATTAAAAAGATATTATGAATTTATTGAAATAGAACATGTGATTTATTGTATGATAGTTCAATGGACTAAAATATAAACTCTAGGCTCGAGATCTCAAACTCCTAGATTCGACTACCGGTCAGACACTGTTAAGTCAAATGGTAGGACAAAATAGTTATTCAATGTTTTCTGGTTTTTACTTGTGGTCTAAGTAAGATGAGTTCATGGTGTATATTGTGAAATCCAATAACTTCCACAATACGTTAATGATAACTAAATTCCTTTGATAAAATACCTAATATTATAAAATGCTGATTTCTGCAATCACAAAACAAATGTGAATTTTTACAATTGAGATCACAAACCGATTTTAGCTAGAACACTATTCAAAACTTGAAAGCATTGGACGGTCATTTAGTCCTAGTATGGGACTTACTAGCAATACACACCCTCTTTTCTATAACAGAGAATCAAAACCAAGACCTACCGTATCGCACGCCGACGTATAGATCACTGATTCTGCATTTAACGATGTCAATGTCCTCAAGAAAATTACTATTTCACTGTTTGAAATCATGAGTCATTTGAAGCTAGACCATCATGGAAAACCTTGGTTCGAATCTTGCGGGGTGCGGGATCGTGGATACGCACTGCTGAGGGGTCCCACAATAGGAATAAACGGCCGTCCAGTGCTTCCAGGTTTTCCATGATGATCTAGCTTCAATTGACTCATGATTTCAACTATTGAAATTTCTAAAATCTCCACAAAACCCTTTCTGAAAATTACTATTTCTGTCCATAAAATGATAATAGTTTCACAAAAGCTCATGGATCAAACTTCCAGGTATAGAAGTTTATCATAAAAGGGCAATGTTATTCATCACACAACTGAAGATGGGTTCAGTGAATAAATAAAGGTTTTTCTTAATATCGTTTACATCACTAGCCACCTTAAACAAGAATTGAGTTAGAAATACTTTGTAGAGTATGTATGTTACAGCTCATACAATAAGAATATACGTACAATATTAGTCCATAAGTAATTTCTAACGACTACTATCCATTTATTCTCGTCCGGATATAACTGTATCGTTATTCATTATCATCGGAGCTGTTACGTCATGGTAATACTTAAACATCATTTATATCATATATTTTCTTTCAGACTTAGTATTACCTGTACCATGCTGTTTGATGGATAAAGACTTGAAGTTGATTGATGTAAATTGTCCAAGGTTCCATTACATATCAGAAAACGATCACAAACATCACAGTCAAGGCTGTAAACAAGTATTTGGTCGTAAAGCATTTAGTTTCATAGCATACATTGCTTATTTATCAATAACTTTGATTGCGATCAATGTAAGTATTATATATATAATGATGAATGAATTCACTTGGTGTTGTTTTACTTGTATCTTTCCATTGTTATTTAGAACAGCAATTGATGATCATTCTCATGTTGGTATTTATCCATCTTGTTCGAATCGCCTCGATATAGCCTTAAGTCACAAACGTTTTAAGCAAAGATAGATAGTGGCTAGCAGTTGAATCCGGTTTGACGCCCGTTTCGTCCTATTTGGGACTCGTCAGCTGGATGTACCTGCATTGCAGAGTTGATGTTCACTCCAGGACTTACCTCGCAAACCCCATGCCCAACCCTCCTCCTTTATCCGGACTTGGGACCGGCAGTAGCCCCTGAAAAGACTACAGGCGGAGTTCTATCATCCAACTGAATGAATTTTATTATGTTCGAGGTTGAGTATATTGTAATCTGGCTATTTAAACCTAAAATAAATGCATGATCATATTTCTGATATAATTATTTCTCAGGTAGAAATCTTATGTAGATTTCTTTTTCGTTCAATAAATACGGGGTCAATAAAGTCAATATAATGCACAGAATTCATATCGTCAACTCGAAATTCTAGTTTATCAAATCATCAGTATTTGTAGGTAAGGACGAAGTAAAGTTGACTAAAGAAAGACTTCCTATTAAGTTTTACAGTAGTTCTTGATATGTATGATTGAAAATAAAGTTAACCTTAGTGATTTTAGTACCAATAGGTCATTTAACCAATATGGAGTAATTCTTTTACACTAATATCTCGTGGTAATAGTTTATTGGCTAAATTCATCAAAACTACGAATCCTTCAAATAGATGAAGCAATAGCTATTCGTAACGAAATACTGGAGCTTTCCGTCAAGCATTTATAACATTGACCTGATTAGTTAACATACATTTTAATTACACGATATGACTATTGTACAAACAGCTTTCCTTTTTGTATTTTCATAGCTTAGATTTGTTTTATTCATATTATCTTACTATTATTATTGTAATGTTTGTTAAGGGTTTAAGAAATTCGGTTGCCAACCAGCCGTATTTACCGATTTTTACCCATTTTATATTTTTCTATCTGTTACGTAATTTGTATTGTAATCATACTCTCTCTCACTTGATAGTAGTTATTGTTTATTCTGCTCATTGACCTTACAATTTCATTTATCATACAAACTGTTATATCTAGAGCTTAGATTCTTAATGTACCGTGTATAACTTGAGCATTCGAACGCTAGAACCTTCCAAGTCGCAAATAAGAAGACAGGAGAATAAAGAAAGTGCTTGTTGGTCAAGAATCGAATCATTGATATTTATAGATATTAGCTTTTGTCAAATCAAAATTATAATTCAATTATGTTATGCTACTGACCAATAGTAGCATGCTACGTCGATATTCTAGAAAGCTCCACTGCATTCTTATTAGATGGAACTCTTCAGCCGTTCTAGAGCCTCTGAAGGCTCTGTCGTAGTTATTCAAGCTAACATAAGTTAATAGTTAGTTAACTACTCACAATGTCATATTGTTTTGAAAACACTATATACATATATCTATATAATCTTAAAATATGCACTTTTGCCTTAAACCGAGGTACTTTGGGGATTATGAATTTGAGCACATACTTGTAGAAACTGAAGAGAATTTATTGAAATGAATAATCTTTATTCATTGTGTATGTTTTAATATGATGAAAATTATTCAGCTTTAAAAGAATAGTTCATCTTTAAATGAAATAGATATGATTCAATCTCTAAATTGATTTGTTTTAGCCTGAAACATTATTGCCAATAATCCATATCTATAAAATGTATGTTATCAAACATTATTAATCAAACATAGCATATACCTGACTTAACTGATATGTGATATAATGGTTTCTGTGTGAGTGGCAATGTGAAATGGAATTTTTCAAGTTGTCTTTTATTGGCCCGATATATGACTCCATTTATATCGTATGAATGAATGCTGTCGAAATATACATCCTAACCATTCACGTATACTATTATCGACTTAATCCTCGTTAGTGGATATGACTGGATTAAATAAGTCAAATACGAGAATGGATGCTTGAATATGTCTATTTTGTACACTCATTGATCCGGACAGACAATCAAAGGGACAAATCGAAGCGAGATGGCACGCGACGGAGTAGGCGTGTGAGCCAACTCCATTTAAACAAGCATAACTCAGTATTTATAGTCACACAAAAATGAGCTAAAGACATGTGATGAATAGGATGGGTGTACACACACGTACGTTCATATAAAATCAGTCAAGGTTGATAAGTGAATAATCAACAAAACGTGACTCAAGAAAAATGAATAAACTGATCTATCCGAAAGCTAGAATAAGCTGTGTGGGCTTAACATAGTAACTGAAATTACAGTCATTTAACTATACATTAATTAGTAATAATATAACTTAGTAAATTACTTTTAGGCGTTTAAATTTGTGCTCATACGTTAAGTCGGTGATTAAGAGGTGTCAAGTAGCATTTAATGTAATTTCCATAAACCTGACTGTTGAGCATTGTGAATACATCGTATAAAAACTAGTGTATTCAGATATCGTTTTGATTTACCATCGGTATCAAATAAGCTATTATGCATCTTATACATGTTCTTACACACTTCATGAGCATCTTAATTTGTTACTTCAGATGCCGATACGCTCACCATTTTGTTAATTTATAGGGTTATTGTAGCTTGTTTCTTGTCAACAGTATCATGAATTTGAGTAACCACTGGGTTGTTCATTCCTGGTACAGAACTCATCAGTAGCTTTTACTCTTAGTTATCGAAGTGGCGTCTTTGATTTTTAACATAGTCTAAGTAGACATAGTCATTAATAATAAAAATATATACCTAAGTAACATCACAACATTTTGGTTGCTACAAGATTTTAATTGATTGTTCATACGCTCCGATCACTTACATTTTGAAAATCGTCAGATAAATTCTAAGGAATACTTTGTCATTATAGTTTCCATCATTAGCAAAGGATTAATAATTTCTAATTTGATTGCTTGTATATTATTTGACATGTTACACATTGTTGTACCAATTTCGTTAAGTAGTTTCCATATTAAATTATCTCTATACATTATTAATGCTGTAAATCGTACACAAAGAAATTAAGATTGTAGTTACATAGGTTTAAGTTTATTCCATTTTAGCTTGCAGGTTATTTCAGTAATCGTATTATACACTGTCTCAGGGCAGAGTTCGATAGAGAATTTTGATGGGCGGCCTATGCTCCTCTAGGAGGGGTAACAGGCGTAAGTAAGTAGTAATTTTATTCATCAGTTGACTTATTATAACTCAGTTAACCACATCACTTTTTCACAAACAAACGTTACTAATCTAGTCTGGTTTCTTTATCACCATTTAAAATTACAATGTATTATTGTTTTAAACATCTTTTCTATAGATAGCACTTGTGATATGCGTTGTTCTGGTATTGAGAGAAATATGGATATACCTTTAATAATACACAATTGTCATCGAAGCTTCATAGAAAACACAGCATCGGCGGTCATTCTTAAACGTTGAAGGTGTTTTTAGTTATATATATATATATATATATATACATCATTAGAAATGGTTTCCTTAAAATGAACCAACCCTTTCATTAACTTTACTTCTATGTTGTTTAATAAATTTATATTTCGTTAATGATAGATTTAAATATTGTAGAAATGGGTATGTTGGTAACTGACTCACTTTCTGTTTCAAAGGTTTCTTTTAAAAAAATTAGAGATCAATATCCAAAGGTAATATAGCATAGTGATAAATTATTCATGATAGCTTTATGAATGACAACTATATGTAATGTGTATCTAACGTAGATTTAAGATTCAAAATTACTATTCTGTAAAACAAAACAAAAAGCTGTACAGTTTACAAATCTATAGATTGATGTTTTCAAAATAGCCACTATATATCATATATACAAAAAATATTGTTTTGTTATTACGTAACTTGATAGACAGTAATCTATAAGTAAGAATGTTTCATCTTACAAGCGAACAGGCTAGAATTAAAAACACAAAATATGACTAACAATATGAGTTCATTGTATGTGACTAACAAATTGCTTTGGAACTTATCAAGCTACATTATAAAACTATATTTTATGTATATTTTAAGAAAGGAATTTCACATTTGAATCATAATAATACTTGACTTAGCAATAACTAAAAATTCAATCTTCATAAATGTAAATTTTACCCCAAATTAGAACAAAATCAGCTGCTGTAATTCATTTCTTCAGTTATCAGTATTGTGTTGTGGAGATTATTAAGCTATTGATTGAAATCATGAATGGATCAATATCTCCAAATGCCCTCGTACAGTCGAGAGTGGAGAGAGTCCGCTCACCCTCTCAAAATGCTCTCACATGGCGACGCGTATATAGCCTCTGCCAGGGAAGTCCTACTCACCGCCTTCTCGCACCCCGTGGGTGTTGTTAACGAAATTGAGAGGACGGAAAGCGAATTTCCGGCACCTTACCCGGCTTGTTGGACATGGAGAGTCCACCTAGGGAAGTTGGAAAACGCTCATTCCAAACCAATGATGCACATGGACTCCAGGATCCTGAAGGAACAAATGGCGTATGAACCAATCGTTGGTCACCGGCTACCATGGGACTGCATCTCCTTACGATGCTCTACTGCCTTCAGATCGAAGGCTCTGGGTGTGGCCTCCTAAGGAAACCACCTGCTTCGGTTTGGGCACCCGTGCAGTGTCACAGCTCTCACACATATCAAATGAGATTTGTGTGGCGCATATGTATCTGATGCCTCCTTGTACCAATATCTATGTGTTAAAACAAATAATAAAAGAAACATACCACCATTGAAAACCTGGAATCACTGGATGGTCGTTTCGTCTTAGTATGGAACTCCTTAATATTGCGTAACCATGATCCCTCACACGAGATTCGAACCCAGGACATTCAGTTCCGTGTGTGAACGCTTAACCTTAAGATCGCAGAGCCGGGCATCAACCAATCCACGAAATTGCAACACCATCTTCTATTGTCTGAGGTAGATACCAGTTTCTAACCGACACAGATTAACTCCACTGATCACGGGTTATAACTAGAACTTCGAGAATTCCCTCACGAAGCCTGTTACTAGTGAGCACATAGTAATTATCAGTGTAGGGTTGTGTAGATTGTTAAATATTTGATTGAGATCATGAATCCATCGATGCCAGACCACTGTTGAAAACCTGAAAGTACTGCTGATGAGTTACATTCTAGGACAAAATGGCTGTCCAGTGCTTCCAGGTTTTCCAAATGTCATTTTGAGTACGTTTTGCAGATGTCATTGCTATCAAGAGCTTTCGACCTAACATTTATTTACAGAAAGTAAGTGTGGTTAAACCTCTTGTTACCACGTTAACATAGATATATCAATTTAACAATTGTCAGTTACATTATCTCTTCATTTCTTTCTGTAAATTATAGTAAAAAATCTTACTGATATTCAATAACTACGTTAGTTTTATGTTAAATAGATGCTTTGGTTATTGTCCATTTATTAACAATCTGTTTTTATCGCTTATAACTTCACTACCTCAACGTTTTATTGATTCCACCTTCAAAATATAAATACTAGTCAATCTTGAATACGATGTCAAATATGTAGTTTCATTTTCTTTCGTAATTTATCTTGAGCCTAACTTCATTGACCATGGTAGGTAACGAAATTTCTTTGTAATAATATTATGGTGTGTGGTAATTATGTCGACAGATATAAGTAGTATGTAACACCAATCGGAAATGAAATGCTTGTGAGAAGGTTGAGAAAATCGAATAGAGGAGAACGAGAATAGAAAGTAACTAGTACAGAAATGAAAAAACAACAAACTGTAAGACAATTTTTTGATCGAGATCATGAACCGATTGATGTTAGACCACCATTGAAAACCTGGAAGCACTGAACGGCCGTTTCGTCCTATTGTGGGACTCCTCAGCGGTGCTCATCCATGATCCAACTTGTGGAATTAGAACCCATGGGCTTCAGTTTCGCGCGCGAACGGCTAGCCTACTGGACCACTGAGCCGGCAAGACAACGGATGGATATTTTGCAAATAAAGTATTAAAAGTATGATATCGACATTATATCAAATAACTCTTTATTGTAGAGTTCAATCACATATCATCATTCATTACTATTTGTCATTGCCTATCTCACAATCGATGGAATTGAACTCTACCAGTTCATTATCGTTATTTAGACCAAACAAAATTGATATATCTTGTCAAATAACTGTTCAAATGTTGTTAAACGTTTATAATCTCTTGTTTATTTAAGAAAAGCTTTATAAATTTAGTTATCATAACAGGAATTTAACATTGTAACAAGGGAATCATAGGATTATTTGAATTTTCCTCCTTTGGCTTATAATGTTCATATCTTGTTTTAAGTTAAATTCAAACATCTTGAATATTAGAATTAAATGTTATCCTATTTGAAATCAACTCAACATCATATATAATTCCATCATAAATGTCTACAGTTGAAAATGACAGATGATAGATCCATATATCCACAGTATTTTAACTGAAATTGGACAATTAGGAAGATGAATTCATTTAGGCTTATTCAAGTACAGTATTTCAATTCATTAAGTTTTATCTTTGTGCTAGGTTTGAGGCGGACACGAATTCACTTAGTCTGCGAACGGAACAAAGACTTGTGACTAATAACCAATAAACTAGCTAATCTGTTGCGTCCCAGCCCCGCTGACTAGAAAGAGAAGTCGAAGTCCGAACGGGGAAGTATATTCTGCAAAAGGTCAGAAGCACGAGCGATTACAACAGACACAAATCAAAACGTATATATACAGCACCAAACCGTCCTTGGGAAGGGTTACAAAATAGCATAATAAAAGACACATCGGACCAATAGCGTTTAAGATTCTGCCAAATGGGAAATATGACATGAAGGGAAAAATGAGCGCTTTTGGCACGAAAACAATGAAATTCAAATTTTCTAAATAAAATTACAAAATTAGGTCTTTTTCTAAGTGAGTCCTAGGGATCTAATATCCTCAACACTTTGAAATAAAATATGGATTAAAATGATTAATAATGGTGAGCTTTCATTCATCTAATATGGCAACTAATGAATACTATGATCAAAATACATCAAGTTTTAAAATAAATGTTGTGCTGCAGTATAAGGTCATTGTAAAGAGAGTAATAAATTGTGTGTATATATTTGTTGAGTCGGCTTCCGGAGAACTTCAACGGAGCCTCCAGAGGCCCAAAAGGAGCCGAAGGATCCTAGCCAATCAGAGTACGGTAGAACGTTCGAGAATTCCAGCGTGGCGTGCTATTATTGGTCGGTAGCATAATATGACGTTAACGGATTGGCTGAAATATGATGTTGATTTAACAGACGCCAACATCTATAAATACCCTTGATTTTCTGTACAAAAATGAACCTTGGGATAAAGTATTTTCTCTCTTACTTGTGTCTTCTCTCTGGTGTGTAGTTTTTTTATTTATTATTATTATTATTAGCTTTATTCAATATCATATTTTTGGTACAATATAGAATTCTCAGCGCAAAGTATTTCAACAAGTTTCCGTTTCTTTCTTCTTGGTCGGTCCTGGCGATAAATATTGAGGGATCGCCAGTTAGATGTTAGCACTTCAGTGAATGAACATCTGAATAATGTGCATTCTTTTCGTTGTATATTGCCAGCGACCGTATTGTCTCTTATTGAGCTCTTTGTAACTTTGACCACGAAAGGTTGTACACTTTTCAGAAACGCAGCAGAATAGGTTGTGCGATTAATAAACATAATGATATATTAAAACAAACAAAAATAGATAACTTGTTGAAATATCTAAATGGCAGGAACAGGTAGTCCAGATGCTCAAGCAGGTCGCCCTTTTAGTCCTTTTAGTTCTAGTCTACGGGTTACCAGATAGCTTAGGAATCGTATATAGCGTTCCATCGACAAGACGTATCAATATTGGACATCATTTTGAATCTCACGATAATTATCTGTTCCTTTAAAATCACAAATATACATTATAGAAACGTTATATCTAGAATAAAACTGACTTCCTATACTTGCTGATGACCTCTATCTAATAAATGTAGTTATAAATATTAGGATGTCTAGCAATATTTATTAACTATAAGTATTCCAAATGTACGTAGAAAAACATGTCTTTTTCGTGATCTGTATGGATGATTGAAGTATTCATAATCAATTTATTAACGATTATTCATACAAAATAAAATCCTGGTAAATTAGTTTTTACACTCTGAGGAAATTGTTTCATTAACATATTGATGTTCCGTAGATGAACCAATCTAAATTAGATAATAATAAAAACTGTAAGCTTTAGTTGACTGTTTCATTCTAGTTTGGGACTGCTCATAGAGAATAGATAAAATATTGGTATTATCAACTTTGATGAAGTCTTTCAATGTGTAATATAGGGTTTTAAAATTGATT